GCTAATAATCTCGCATTAGTTTTCAATCAACTGAACCAAATTGCATTACTCCTTCACCTAAGGGCTAATAATCTCGCTAGTTTTCAATCAACTGAACCAAATTGGGGATTTTAATCTGTCACCTTAAAATCTCCAATTCTGCATCCAACAAAGTATATTTCCCTATTTATTTGCACCCAATCACATGGATTACATACTCTCTAATGAAATCAAATGTGATTCTCCCTATGTTGTAGAAATCGTATCTTTTTTCAGAATATATGTTTCTTGACAAGTTTAAACATTTCAATGGGCCAGATTGAAAAGTAAATAAAAATCGGAGTTCAAATCATATTAAATTATTAACATTTAAAACCATAGAAAATAAATTCTATTCTTCACAAAACCATATCTCAAAGTAGGGAGAAGGATAAAGAATACTAATCAGAATTCATGAGAATGATACAACAAAACACAGATTTCATATATTAAAATAAGTTTACGAAATAAAAGAAATAAAAATACAACTTATCTCACAATCTTTCCCAAGCAAATCCCTAGAAGTTCTCTCCAAGCCTTTCTCTCTTTACAATCACTTTTAATTCTCTTTTAAAAGTCCAATGAAAAAGAAAACTATCACATTCCCTCTCCTCTTACAACCCTTGAAAAAATCTCTTCTTCTCTCTCTATCTCTAACTCAAGCCAACTTTCTCTCTCCCCATGCCACACACTTGAAAAATGAGAAGTCTTCTTCTTTTATTTTGGGTTGCCTCCTTTGGAAATAAATTCAAAATTCCCTCTAAATTTCCCTCCAAAAGTCAACTCTTTTGAATTCAAAAGATGTGACATTTGATCCAAGAGTCATATCCCTTCATAAAAGAACATTCCAAAGTGTCTAGATGCATTGAATTATTCCAAGAGGTGTGCAGAACAAGTGTCCTTTTGAAATTTGGGTAAAAATTTGTCTCGAACCGCCTTAATTTGAAAAAGTTGTCCCTAGCGCATCATGCGCCATAATCTCAAAATTTGCTATTTTGGCTCCAAATTTTGTCCTTTCGTCATTTTTGCTCCAAATGCCTAAAATTTGCTCCAAATGCCTAAAAATTTTGCTCCAAATGCCTAAAAATGATATACCTGCAACAAAACATGAAAATATGCTTCTTTAAAATGCAATATCACCAAAAATAAGCATAAAATATGTACTTAAAACAATATATTATTTTGGTGTATCATTTATCATCATCTACAAATGCCACATCAATGATAAAAAAATGCTACAAAGACCAACATATACTTCTACAGGAGTTACAACAAATTTGCTCATCTTCGACTAGAGTTGCCATCGCCTCTCCAAAACCCCAGCACTGCCTCAGTACTTCTGATGATCGTCAGGAGGTCTTATATATCACCACCACATGAGCATGAAAATCTTCCCATCAAAAAGAGGTAGGAAAACTACAACACTTCTTGAAGAAATGTGCAAGAGTGACACTGGAATCTCCTATGGAATGCATGAAACTAATTAGAATAAGATTCCATTGTTGTTCTACTACTTAGGATGGGGATGACTTTCCTCTTCATTGCAACGATAAAGAAGATTCCATTGCTAGCCTACTCTGCAGAACTAGGACAACTTTCCTCTTCGTCACAACTAGAAAGAAGATCTCGTTCCTCACCTGCTATGCTGGATGGGGACAACTTTCATCTTCTCCGCAACGAGAAAGAAGATCCTGTTTCTTGCCTACTACACAGGACGGGGACTAATTTCCTCTTTGTTGTAGTTTTTCCCTACAACTATATGTAGCAATTTTTCACCTCAACTCTGTGTCGCAATTCTTCATTGCAATGTGTTGCCCTGATGCATCGTCGTGACACACTACTACAATGCGTCGTGTTACCGCAACGCTCGATCATAATGCATCGTAGCGACACATTGCCCCAATGCATCGCCACAATATGACAATGCCCCACCACGATGCTCCATCCCAACATGTCGCTGCAAAGCTCCGCCTCAACGCATTGCCCCGATGCTCCGCCGCAACGCATTGCCGCGATGCACTGCCTCAACACGTCATGTCGCCGCGACGCCCCGCCACAACGATGTTGCAACGCTCCGCCGCAACGCCGCTCCGTAATGATTCGCTACAACATGTCACTGCGATGTTCCACCGCATGGGGGTCAATGTGACTCTACCCTGTATCTCCACTTCAACCATCTCCTTTAGGCCTATTTATAGGCTCAAAAAGTAATCACCCATTAAAGACTTCATTAATTAAAAAAATTGGTTTGTCTGGCCCCTGCATTTCCTTCTCGCCGCTTCAAATTCTGGGGCGGCTATTCCACCATCTGCCCTCTAAATTTCGGTTAAGGAATTAAAAAAATTATGAAAATGGGATATATGGGCCAAGCAAGACCAAAAATAAAAAGTAAATGCATTAATGCACAATTGAGGATTTTAACACGTACGGGTGATTCAAACACGTAGGGGCGAGAGAATTTCCCAACGAGAAACACTCAGTAATCTAATTATACTATATTACCCGTATAGTAATCCTAACAATGATATTTTGAGCAAGAAACGTTCAAATAATGATAAAAACTCATCCAGAGCTCCGATTTCAACAAACTTATAATCAAACTGATCGGCTCGATGAAACGGACCTAATGATATGAAAGCAGCCCAATCTAAGTCAAATCAAGCCCAGATCATGTCATTGAACCACACTTAAAAAATTTTTGTTCACATTTGGAAGGTCAAAGGTCGTCGAATATGACAAGTTTATACTTGAATCAAGCATCTCGACAGGACAAATCCAACAAACACAAGATCACTCAATTCTGACATCATTAAGGCACTCAAATGTCCATTAAACGTCATATGGTCGTGGGAAGCTCTCTGGACCGTCCGATCAAAATGGTTCATATTCCTGCATTAATTGCACCCAGAACACTATAAATAGAGTCTCATCCCTCTCATGAGGGGGGCAAAAGCCTTGGGAGAGAATTTGAGGCTTGAGAAGGAGTTGAAGTCTAGCACCACCGTCGACCGTCGTCGAATACCGCCGACCGCCGTCGACCTCCGCTGATCGCCGTCAACCTTCACCAACCGTTGTTCGCCGACTGTCGTCGACCACCACATATCGTCATCAACCACCGCCGACCAGCTCCGTCAGTCAATGTCGTAATTTGGAAAATCTAGTAAACCTCTCCCGTCTGTGGGACAAGAGCTCACCACTATGGTTCATGTGCCAACTACGACCTACGTGGTCACGGCTCATGCAGTTTCTGAATTCGGCCCCAACGACCTACTTACATCATTAATACTCGCCAACTACAGTCTACGTGATTCACATTTCCTGCAACTGCTTAGTATGGTTTCTCTAGTCAATCAACGCTTCTAGAGCAACCATCTATAAAACTCACAATAGACTACTACCTTCTTAACAATCAACAATGATCCTTGCAACCTGTTGTCACCAAGAACTGCAGCCAGATTATAGTTATGCAACTTTGTAATTCCATCTTCCCTAATTTACGGGAATAATAAACATGTGTACTCATCATTCATTGTGAATTATTTCAACTGGGCTACACCCTGTGGTTTTTCCCCATTTCAAGGGTTTTTCACATAAAAAATCGATGTGTCTCATCCTACTTACTTCTCTTTTTTTTTTATTTGTGTGTGTTGAATTCTCATGCAACGCTAAAATGATAATCCATTACTCTACCACCGCGAATTTTCTGGCACTCATCACTCATAATTTTCTATTTCTATAAAATATCCAACAAAAGTATTTGGATTAAAAATCAAATTTTAGCATATTTTTTTATAAAAATAAATATTGTTCTTGAAGTTGGAAATAAAATCATAATAATAATAGCAAATATAGTATTTGTTTAATTATTTTCTATTTTATTCCTATTTTTTATTTTTTAAAATAATACATCTCTTTTAAAAATATCAAAAACAGAAAAAAAAATATTTTTACTCTTTTTAAAACACCATAAACAAATCCATCTCTAAACACATAATATAAATAAGCCTTCACAGAATGTCCGTTGTCGCGTGCAGCTCGTCGGTCGCCGCCCCCTGCTACTTGTCGTCTACCGCCTACCGCCTACTGCTCATCGCAGCCAGCCTGTCTACTGCCCACCCGCCCGCTTGTCCGCCCGTTACTTGTCATCACTGCCGCTCGCCTGCCTGTTTTCTGCTGTCGCCACTCTGTCACCTGCCTACCACACGCCTCTTGCCTCCTGCCCAGTGCTTGGCGCCACTCGCACAGGTAATGATTCGTGTTCGGTAGAGCAAGGAATGCATCACATGATCAATAAGCGGTGGAGCTTAATAGTTCAGTGTAATATGAATCCAATTGATTTATAAAAAAACTAGTTTTCTTAAAAAAAAAAAAAGATAAAAATTACCTAATCAAACATATTTTATAATTTTTATTTTTAAAAATTTCTAAACCTTAACGATATGAAATATATTTTTTAAAAATAGAAAGTAGAAAATTGAGAAGTAAAATAAAACAAATTAAATTTAAAAAAAATTAAAAAAAATAGAAATGAAAATGGATCTATATATTTTTTCTTAATTTTCAACATTAAAATATATAGAATATTGTAAAGTAAATTAATTGCCCGCTCAAAAAATATCGCCGAAGCCACCTTTACACACGTAGAGTAACGTGCGTATCCAATGAAATCACGGTACAACACCCCACGCGATAGGAAAAAAAAACGGCGCGGTAACACGGAGAATATTCCCCTCGTGTTATTCATGTGTTATTCATGTGTTATCGTGTATTATTTATATATTACTGATGTGTTATGTGTTATTATAACATCAAAAATATCCTCAAGACATAATAACACATAAATAATATACAATAATATCATAATAACACCAAAATATATTTTCTATAGAGAAAAAAATGACAGGATAATATTGAGAATATTCCGCTCATGTAATTCATTTATTGTGTAAGGGATTAATATTTACCGCTCTGTCTCACTCTCGCGACTTTATTCAATCATCATCCCTCCCTCCTCATTTTCTCCCCATCGTCCTACCCTTTAATGCCTCCTCCACTAAGGCCAGCAAGAGCAAATGATAAAGGACGAGGGGATCACGAGGAGCGCGTTCCATCTCTCGCTTTACTCCATAGTCCTTCGACATGTGAAATCTTCCGCAGCGAAGTGATTATTAATGAGACCTCCATCGCTAGGGCAAAGCAGGTGGCAAAGGCGAAGGGAACTTGAAGAAAAGCTTGGTTTCCACTGTCCTAATTGCTCATTTTCACCATCCCTGTGTCGCTTGTAGTCAATCCGAAGAGGTTATTTCCCCACTCTCTTTGATTATTTTGGATTTATAGTGGATTAGGTATCTTGATGACGTAAGAGTAGGAGTAATGCTTGCCAAGCTTCATTCAGTTATCGTAAGAGTTTTGTTTTGTGTGCTATTACTAAATGAATTTTGTTCTTTCTTTAGATGCTTGAGTTTTGACGAGAGTTGTTTTGGTTCTATTGTTGCGACAGTGGGTATAGCTCTTGTCCAGCAACGCTGATATAAGGTGAGGCCATTTAGGCTTAACTGATTTGAATTCAAGACCCTCCATCTGAGGAATTTTCAGTTTGGATTTATATCTTATAATTTATTTTTTGAATTTTATAATATATCTTATCACGGAAGAATTGAATTTACAAAACCAGAGCTAATTGAGGCATGCTAAATTATTTTGGCAAATTGTTACTAGTAAAAGCAAAATCTATACTAGCTGATATGTCAAATGGGATTAAAAGGTAATTTTTAACATTTAGTGATTATAAGGATTAATTTAAAAACTTTAAACAAGGAAATTGTAGTGTTTTTTAATATTTTGTTGAGTTTAGTGATTTTCTTTTCAAAAAATTATTTACCTATGGGTTATTTTGTCATTACTATCTAATTTATAGAAGTCCTTAGACATGAAATTAAGCATTACTTAAATTGCATTTCTCCAAAGATATTACATCAGACCTTGTACCGAGATTTTGATAAGAATGAAGAATATTGTAATGATCCTTTTGTTAAGACTAGTGTACCAGTGATTAATATTCTTAAAAAAAATAGTTTCTCTTTAAAACATGTTAAAACTCATGGCAACATAAAATTTATGTATGGTAAAATTTGATCCATTTAAGAAGAATTTAATTCATGAATATCTCTTAACTGATGGATTTGGTGTAGAAATATATTTCATGTCACAAAATTTTATTGAATTTTAATGTGCATCAAAACCTATACTGTAATATATTTATGAATCTGAACCAGAATCTAAGAATTTGCTACAATCAAAATTAAATTATATATTGAAACTTGTGCATGAGATCCTTTATGACCTAAACTTAAAAAAAAAGGAAAAACGTAATTAAAAAAAGTTAAATCTATTTCTAAATTCAAAAAAAAATTATAAATCATGCATTTTGAAATTGATAAACTAAGTATATGATGATTTTGCTCCCAATGAAGTATCTATGATAAAATTATGTCTATGAATCAAAATTATAATAATTTTATTTGATTTTAACAAATTTCAGAGAATAACTCGTGTACTATGGATGCATGGGAAAGCTGAAAATGAAGATCAAATACCATCTTTTCATGCACAATTTGTTATGATTCTCCGTAGTAATTAAGGTAAAACAAATATTTTATTTCTCTAAAGCAAACAATGCAACCACTAACATATAAAATGAAGGACAAACACCTACAATTTGATAGTTAAGTGTTCTCTCCCAATTCCTACACTTCGAGAGGTAGGAAATCTCTCTCAAATCCTAAACATAAGAATCACAATAATAATTTTATGCATGCTCATAATCCTAAACATATTAGTCCTATTTATACTAAACAATCATAAATGACAAAATATTAAATTTCCTTTAGATGCACAAAAGATAAAATTGCTCTTAGGCTAGACATTAACGTAGCAATACTCCTATTCCAAAAAGATACATCCGCAAGGTGGGTAAAATTGTTACTGTATCAAGTCGTGCGGCTTCTCATAATTAGGCTGGAGTCCAGTTCTTTCCATCTGCATTGACACTCTTCACAACCTCCTTCAACTTATCAAAAATCTAGGTCGTCACTTTCCACCACTAAAAATTATTCTTCAATTTCTTCGTCCACTGCCACACAATCGAATTAACCTTTCACAAACTTTTGGTAGTATCTTGAAAGTCACATAAACCTTCTCAACCCCTTCCAGGCCTTAGGTAGTGGCCCGTCTAACCTATCTCCCATCTTCGATAGATCCACTGACACCAGAGTCTTGCACAAACAAGGGTCACTGCAAAGCACTACCTTCTAATCTCTCTCTGAAATCTCCATGATCAAAATTTTCCAATTCATTGTAGCTTCCCCTACAAATTGCAACCATTTCATTCCCAATATCACAAGGGAAGAAAATCTTCCATCACTTGAGTGTTTGGCAGTATTAAAATCATTCTTTACAAACTCCACTACTCTTCTCCAGCTGTCACATTCCCATCACGACTTCAAAACTTCATGTTTCCACCATCTCAAGCCCTAATTGCTTCACTATTTGAGTAGCAATGAAGTTGTGGGCGACCCCACTATCTATCAAACAACTACATTTTGCTCTCTGATATGGCCTTGAAGTTTCATAGTGGTTAGGTTTAAAATCCCACCATCGAGTTCAATATGACTTCTACCACATTTAAGTGAAGGTGTTCCTTCTCCTCCACCACAATCTTCTCTATTTGTACATCATCAGCTTCCTCTTGACACATTGTGAGAATCTATAATGCCCAATCATTGCAATTGTGTCATGAGAAAAACTTCTTATCACCGAAAACATAATCCCTTGGCTTGTTTCTCCTAAATCTCTATCTCTGTAAGGCATTTGATTGTCCCGATCGTGGTCCTTTATTCCTGTCCTATAGCGTCTCCATCTGGGTTTCCATTGTTTGAACTATCGGTATTGTTATGGTTGCAGTAGTTTGATATGGTGCTCCGCCTGTGTTGCTCCTAATAGCCCGTTTTATTGTATTTTTATCTTCAATTAATTGCGTAAATTTCATAATTTTTCCCAATTATCGTAATCTTAGCGGACGAAGTGATGCTCGAATCTCTAGCTTCAACCATTTGATAAAGTTTCTTTTTTAATGCTTCTTATGATAACCATCTCAAACGACCGATAAAACTCAAATTTTTCCATATACTCAATAACGGATCCTTTCTGAACCAATAACCAATTCAAAAAATTGCTCGTGTAAATCACCTTCCCATCCCTCTCGAATGGCCAAATAACATCTCAAATTTCTTCCTATACTCAATGACAGATCCTTCCTGAACTAATGCAAAAAATTGCTCCTGTAATTCTCTTCCCATGTTGTTCTGAAGTGCTTCAACAATCGGACCTTGAAGACTTTCCATGTCTGAATTGGCTGACATTGTTTTCTCTATTAATAACATGCTAGATTCTTTCCTTCTAAACACAGAGTCACTGCCATCAATTTTTCTTCCTTCATCAGCTCATAAACAACAAAGTATCTCTCCACACGATAAACTCAACTATAAGCATCCTCTCCTTCAAAGATCGACATTTTCATCTTTCTCACGTGTGAGTCTCCTCCCCAATTTCCTTGATTGAAGTTGATTCCACCCATAAAATAGTGGTTGAGTTCTTTTCCTCAACCCATATTGATTTCTCTTCTTCCACAAGTCTGGGGTGTCTCATAATTAGCTTGTTATTTCCCATAAGCTCTAGAATTACCTTATGCCTGACAAAATGCACTGGTGTGGTTGGATGCAACCTTTTATCGCGATCCTACCCTTTATGATTCTATGTTCCGGGTCGAAATCCTTCAAATTGATCCTCCTGCCTTGAATCGTCTGTCGTCCCATTCTGTCAACTGCCTTTCTTTCCAACCATCTAGATGTCTTGTCATTCCTTTCAAGTGTTGATGCTCGAGTTCGCTTACCATTTCTTCATCCGATCTCGCAGATCCAGATCCACCTGAGACAATAATGTTGCCCTGATGTCGCACGAATTCTTTTGATTGCCGCCACTCGTGCCCGTTCTATTTTTTGTCGCTCGATCTGTTGCAGGCAGTGGAGGATTTGTGTGGGACTCCGCTATCTTCTTTATCATTTCTTCTAGTCTTTTGACTCTCCCCTCCATGGCTGAGAAATGCTTTTCTATTATTGATCTGATTTGACTGACATCTTCCGCTAGTTTTTTATCCAAAGCATCCATCTTTTTAGCTGCCATTACTCCTAAACAGTTTTGAAACTCTTTTACTATGAAATCATGGGTTTGGAATTTTTGAACACTAGTTCAGCGTGTGAGGAACTCTGGACATCATGATCCTGAAATTCATGTACGCTATTCAGTGGAACTATTGGAAGCCATGTAGAACTCCTGAAGTCGTAAATCGAATTCATCCAATCACGAGTTTCCATCACAAGCGACGCAAAACTCCTTTACATCGCGATCCCAGACGCGTATATTGATCAAGAGCAATGCGGAACTCCTGTTCGCCGCGATCCGCTGTCTCTTCGCTGCAATCCCACACATTGGCTTCTCCATGATAGTGGCGGCAAACTTCGATCCCTAAAAAACGCTGACACATCATGATCCCATTGTGGACTTCTTGGCTACCTCTAATCGCGCAATCTCGTGAGATTTGGTTGCCATGATCTTATTCGTTAGTGACCGTGGATGCCACGATCACTTTGTTCCTTCCCAACTAGCTTCAATCGCGATATTGTGCGGGGTTTTGGATGAATCGTGATTGTATCGCAAGCCTTGAGCACGCAGGAGCTTTGCCATCTTGTCGTTTCTCCCAGCTCTCTTGAATTGCGACTCTATCACAAGATTCAGTCATGAAGGCTGCAGATTTTGGCTTTCTCAATGTTGAATTCCTGTTGTCTTGAATGGCCACGACGCTGTCTAACCTGGCACACGTTGATCCGGTCGTCTCTTCTCAAAATCTTGCCCTGATACCAATTTGATAGGATTCTCCGTAGAAATTAGAGCAAAACAAATGTTTTATTTTCTCCAAAGCAAATAATACAAAACAAATATATTAAATTAATGATAAACACCTACAATTCTAGAAGTAGGCGATCTTTCACAATTCCCACAATTCGAGAGGCAAGAAATCTCTCCCAAACTCTAAATCCAAGACTCACAAGAATAATCTCATGTATGCTCCTAACCCTAAACATATTAGTTCTATTTCTACTAAACAATAAAAAATGACAAAAGACTAAATTATCCTTAGACTAGGTACTAGCATAACACCATATTGTTTTGATTCGAAAATATATTAGTTTTTTAGCGTTATGTATACATTAATCACATCATATTGTATCATCCGCTGGTTATAACATGATTTGCTTGAAAATATTTTTGAGAACCTTTTTTTTAATGATGATAATTATTACCATGCTTTGTAAATCAAGAAAAAATAAAAATAAAATAATAAAAATAATAAGATGTAGATATATGAAATTTAAAATGGGTGATACGGTAATGGCTAATCTGAATCTCAAATGGTTTCTTGCAGGAATCCTTAAGAAATTAACTACTCGAAATAAGAGATCATATAAATTTATATATTGTATTAAGATGAATACTTATAAATTGAAAACATTTAAAAATTATTGGTATTGCTCTTGTTCTTATTATATATATGCTTTGATTTTATATCACGAACATTCAAATAATGCCTTAACTTTTGTTTCCTTTTACCAACTTAATTCGGATTTGATTCTAATATAGCACCCCCATCACGCACTCAAATCTCAAATTTAGGTGAAAATTTTTTACTAAGAAATATGATTAGAAAGTTTCAATAAAATATAAATTAAATATGTATTAATTTTTATATCAATTACCCTTTATGAATTATGGCTAGAAATATGTATAATTAATTCATATAGTTATGAAATTTTTATGAGAAGAAATCAGCTTGAGCAAATTACTCAATAATTGTGTTGTACAATACTTATTATTTTCTGTATAATGAATAGAACCCTCTCCAAGAGTGCGAGCAGCTTTATGCAGCCTATTTGTTAGCAAGAATTTGTAATTTTTTCTTTATTTGTGGTGCCCTCGTTGTTAAGAAAAAAAAAATTTTGGAATTTCACATCTGCTCATTATCTTTTTTTTTGTCTAGCAAGGTTTTGTTTGGCACCAGAAAGATCTGAAGAGGGAATTTTTTCATGTTTGTTAAGAATGACCAATTAGCGGATTCAACTAATGAAATTATCATTATTTTACTGAAAGCTGCTTGTTTAAGAATTTTTAAATATTTTACTGAACACTATGTTGTAATAACAAATTCGTACAAAATGCTACCTCTCTTATTTCCAGAATGGCTGAGCTGAAGAGGAATTCCGTTCTGATCTTAAGGTTTGATGGCGAAGATTTAAAGGAATTTGTAGGCAGCGCTCTGTTTGAATCTGAGATGATCAACATATTCTCGCAGATAGAGGCGAGCAGCTCTTCTTTGCGTGAGTCTCTTATGATGGCTTTGGAACGACTAACGGTTGACCATGGTGTGCCGCCTTATTCTGACTCCTGGGTAAATTACTAATTTTGACTTTGTTATCATAAACCGTCATGTAAAAAGTCAGATTGAAGGTGTGGATTTTGAATAAATTGTTTGCGAACTTGCCTAACTCAAGCTTGACCTGAGTTCAGGAGTGATAACATCCAAAAACCACTTTTTACTTGATTATAAGCCTGCCTGATGAATACAACAGATAAAATCAGGATAATTGGAATACCCTTTGTAACATGTTTTATTAGAGTGAAAATTGCATACATACCAGACTATTCTTATGTATTTATATATCCAATGTTTGATATTTGAAATTATAACACCTTGGTGTCATATATCTATGCATGAAAAGGTATATTTCACTTTTAAAAATGTAGTGATGTTGGTACTTTTTATGTGATGTTAAAGATTTGAGTGGCATGCAAATAAATAGGAATGTTTAAAATTCATAAGAATTGTGTGGTATGTATGTAAATGCCCCTTTATTAAATTGTTACGTCATAAGTGGGTTGTTTTATGTTGTCAATTCTAATTATATCACAACAGAATCAAAATAAGATCTTCAGATGCATGACCATTTCTTGAGCCATCACCTTAGACTTAAATTTTTCCAAAACTAGACAATCTCTTAATTGAACAACTTAGTTGGCTTGGTAGTCAAGTTAGACTGATATTTTTTTTTATTGCTTGATCTTCTTTTTTGCTTATTTTTGTAGCTATTAAAAACTCATTGTTTAATCATTTATAGTGAGAATGGGTGTAGGATCAAGCAATATTAGTGCTTCTCTTTGATGATGTTTGAACAATTTATGATGTTTTTTATCATTTATAAAAGATTAAATTTCAAAATAGTCACCCGACTATTCGTATATGACCAAGGTAGTCCCAAAATATTATATTTCTCAAATTTAATCCCCTGACTTTACAAAACTGATTCAAAATTGCCCCTCATATTGAAATTATGATACAAAATTTATCCAAATTTAGTCTCTCAACTCTACAAAATTAATCCCAATTTAATTTATAAGAGATCATTTTGGATCAAGTCAAGAGAGCTAAATCAAAGAAATGTGATTTGAGACTAAATTGGCCACATATGAACAGTTGGGGACTGTTCTGCGATTTAACTCCTTTTATTAACAAAAAATAGCCTCTCCTTAGGCTTGGTGTTTAGGGTTGTGAAAATACGCCAATTTGAATCAAACTCAACTTAAAAAATTTAGTTTCGAATTGACCTGAATAATTTTTAGGTTTAGTTCGGGTTAAGGAATCCTAACTAGTTTAGTTTTTTCTGGGTCGAGTTTGGGTTGACCCGATGATCCGTGGTGCAAATACACACGTTCATGCAATGGCGCATGTCAATTAAATAGTATATGGATTTTGAGTCCAAGTGCTTCTTAAGTTAAGCCAAATGTTACCCTAGGAGTCTATTAGTTTTATCCAATTAAAATAATTTTCAAATTATAATTTTAAAATTCCTAAAGTCTACAAAAGGCAAAAGGATTTTAATTCTTTTTAAGTGTTTAATAGAAAACTAGTTTGAATTATTGTTTTGTTTAGGTTTAGATCTAATTTAAGTTTTCCTAATCTCGTTGACTATCGAGAACATAAATATTCTTTGTTCCCTTTCAAGATAAGATTTGTATTACAGTTTAGTGTTCCAAATATGGCAAAATCTTTTAGGACATGTATTTCTCAATTGATTTCACTCCCTAATAGCAATATGTTTATTCTACCAAAGTTGTTTGTGTTAGCATAGATGTTCCTTCCAAATTGTTTAGATCACAACGAATTTTAACATTTCAACTGACCAAATTAAAAATAAATTAAGCTCACAAAGTTAACTTGTTAACATATTTCATTTAGTTCCACCCGAAATCTTGAATTGATGAAAACCATAATATAATCACTAGCCCAAAGGAGTTTGAGATTTAGTTACACAAAATGTTTGCAATGCAAGAATCAAAATCAATGAAAATTATAACACTAGAACATCAGAAAGTGTTAAAGAAAACACTCAGTATGATCTACATTTGAGATCTTTTTGATCCCTTATAAAAATCCTTTCAAATAATTCCTTACGCTACAATCATCAGAAGTCCTTCCAAACCCTTTACAACACTCCAATATACAACATTTCACCTAACTTTACTTCCAAACCATCATTGTAAGAGAAAAATTGCCCTATATTGGTTCATGGCGCTGGGGCGCCAAAATGTGTCTTCCGTGTGCTTCAACGATCGCTGGAGCGCCCAAAAAGTGGCACTGGGGTGCCAAGCTCTTGGGTTTATAGCGTATTATAAGTCGGGCATCTAGAAGTTGTGTCAGTGGCGCCTAGGATTACAGTGGCGCTTTGGTGCCACTATAGTAACTTTGCTACAATAATACCATTTTAATATTTTTGGCATGTCATCGTCATCTTATGATCTTGTCAATTTTTATAATAAAACACAACTCAAACATCATCAAAGCATAAATCTACATAAAATTTTGTATAAGAATATACTTAATTTTAATAAATTTTGAGCACTTAATAAATTCTCTCGAACACTCACACTACTTTTACGTAAGTAATTCTTTTATCAAACTTTATATCCTACCGGAAATAAGTAGTAATTAGTTTGAGAATCATCATTAAATGAATGGTCTGGTGAATATATAATTAAAGCTCATATACATAATTTTTATTGATTAATTATATCCCGATTTTTATAAAAAAATAATATTCTTTTAATCCAAGACTCCTAAGTGTTTAGATGTAGCATTGATTAAAATTTTTTTAATTAATAAGTATATAATTTTAACTTAACCAACCATATAGCTTCAGTTTGGACTTTCTCTTTCTAAATATCAATGAGATTTTAAGTTATTTATGTTAAAGAAACTAATAGATACTAATTTTTGTATATTAGATTTATGATCAAGTTTCTTTTTTTTTTGTTTTTTTATATAAAATTTTCTTTTTAATACCATGGGCTTTTCACTTTTCATCTTTTGTTTCTTTTTAGGATAGTTATTTTTGATAAAATCTTTAATGATTTTGAATACCTATCTTTTTTTATTTAAATCAACTCTACTTTTTCACAGCACTCCTATATATAACATTTCATCTAACTTTGCTTCCAAATCGTCATTGTAAGAGACAAATTGACCTATGTCAGTTCATGGCGTTAGGGCGCCGGGATGTGTCTCTCGGATGCTTCAACCGACACTTGAGCACCCAAAAAGTGGCACCAGGGTGACAAGCCCTCGGGTTTATAACCTATTTTAAGTAAGGTATCTAGAGGTTGCATCAGTGGCGGCTAAAATTAGAGTGGTGCTTTGGTGCCGCTATAGTAACTCTACTACAAGAAAATTTTGCATGTCATATTCATCTTATTATCTTGTCAAATTTTGAATAAACGAAACAAACACCATCAAAGCATAAATTAACATAAAATTTTGTATAAAAATATACTTATTTTTAATACATTTTGAGCACGTAATAAATTCTCCCGAACTTACACATTACTTATTCTCAAGTAATTCTTTTATCTAAGTTTATATCCTGATGGAAATAAGTAGTAATTAATTTAAGAACCATCATTAAATGAATGGTCTAGTGAGTATATAATTAAAGCTTATATGAACTTCATAGATACCTGAATTTTATTGACTAATAATATCCCAATTTTTATGAAAAATTAATATTATTTTAATCCAAGACTCTTAAGTTTTTAAGATATAACTTGATTAAAATTTGTTTAATTAATAAGTATAAAATTTTAGCTTAATCAATCATATGACTTCAGTTTAGATTTTCTCTTTCTAAATATAATGTCTTAAATTTCAATGAGATTTTAAGTTGTTTAAGTTAAAAAAATTAATAGATACTAATTTTTGTATATTAGATTTATCTTCAAGTTTAATCTTTTTTAGCTTTTTTTTATATAACTTCTTTCTAATGCCACGAGCTTTTCGCTTATTCACCTTTTTCTCTTTTTCGGATAGTTATTTTTGATAAAATCTTTAATGATTTTGAATACCTTATCTTTATATCTTCTTTTATTTAAATCAACTCTACTTTTTCACAACACTCCTTTATATATAATATTTCACTGAGCCTCGCTTTCTAACCATCATTGGAGGATAAAAATTGCCCTATGTTGGTTAATGGTGCTGGGATCGAAAACATCTTCTAACCGGATAATCAAATGGTCGATGTTTAATGTGACCAAACAATCTAATACGACTCTCTCTATTCTTGTCTGGAACTGGTGCTACACCAACCCTTTCACGGAAGGATTTGTTTCGCATTTTGACTCTAATTGTCAAGCCACTCATCCACCTAAGCATTCTCATCTCAGCAAAAATTAATTTTGTTTTATGCTTCTCTTTTACAGGCCAACATTCTGCACCATAAAGCATTGCAGGTCTCACGTTCATTTTATAAAATTTTTCTTTATGTCTAAGCAGTACTTTTCTATCTCACAGTAGGCCTGGTGCATTCTTCCACTTCAACCAACTAACCTAAATTCTACTATTAGCATCCCTAGCTGAATTACCATCACTTTGAACAATAAATCTGAGATATCTAAATTGTTCACACCTATTAATGATTTGATCACCCATAGTTACAACTCTGTCACTAGAGCTACTAATACTAAAATTACATTCAATGTATTCATTTTTAATGTATTCATTTTTAGATATTCATTTTTAGATCTACTCAATTGAAGGTCTTTAGACTCCAATGTAGACCTCCATAATTTAAGTTTATCCTGAACTCCTTCTCTAATGTTATCTGCAAGAAGGATATCATAAGCAAAAAACATACTCCAAGGTGCATCCTTCTGTAAATGTCCAATAAGAGCATCCATAATGAAAGCAAAAAGAAGCGGGATTAAGGCGATCCCTAATGTAATCCAATTGAAATAGGAAAATACTTGGTCAATTGTCTTTCTGTTCGAATTCAAGTAACAGCTTTAGTATTTTCTTTGATAACTTGAATATAAGTCAAATCAACTCCTTTATTTTCTAGA